ATTAATTATATTCTAACAAGTTTCATTTCTTTTTTTTTATTTTAATAATATTTTAGCATTTAGAAATATAAAAATAAAAAAAAAGGATAATATTATGATATAATTATTCTTGCAATATTTTTAATTTTAACGTTTCTAAATATAAATTTCATGTCACAAATCATAGTCTGATCTTGAAGCTATTATGAAATAAAATTTAAATATACCAGTACTCAACATCAGCCTAGTAAAAATTTAAATATACCAGTACTCAACATCAGCCTAGTATTCGGCATTAGGGCACGTAGTTGCTGGAACCATCTCGTCCAGTTCCTGTGTGCGACTGTTTCCTGCGGTGTTGACACTGTTTGTAGCACCACAGAAAAAGTTCCTTTGATCTGGCATCGATTCTCTCCCGTTCAAACATTCACATCTGCTGCTGCAAGCTTGGAGGTCCAGTCTCGTATAGCGGACCCGTACACCCCCTGAGGTCACACCCCTCCCGTACACCCCCTGAGGTCACACCCCTCCCATACAGCCCCTGAGGTCACACCCCTCCCATACACCCCCCAGAATATACACCAAACACCCCTCCCATACACACACCCCAATCTTTACACAGCACACCCTCACCCCCTAATTCTTCACACAACACATCCCTCTCTCCAACAGTCTCCATACCTCTCCACAACCCCTGAACTTTTCTTGTACTAAACACACTTTACATTTCTAAGGATACACCCCAACACCCCTTTCATCCAACCTCCCCTCCCCCACACTCCAGTACTGCCTACACCACCCAGTTTCCCACCCACATCAAGCCCCTACCCCTACCATTCAGTGAGTATACACCCCCCCCCCCCCCATATCAACCTTCTGTAACCATTACACAAATAGTCTCTGTACGCGGAGTGTTTGTTTGATTGACGTGACCTAGTTGCATGTATATATTTAGCGACAACAAATCATTAGAAGCGCCAAATTGATGAAACCAAACAAAAAATCCTATTTGAACTGCTCCCACTAGAATCAACCAGAAGCCTTTGGTATTTTGACATCAATAGAACCAGGACGAATTTTAAAAGAAAAACTTACGGTGGAATGGACGGTTCCATTTTTAAAATATCCTTATATTTTTAAAAATGGCATTGGAAAGGTTTTAAAAACGTGTAGTTTAAGGATCATAGCAAAGTCCCCACCCACAATCCCCCTCCCCCTCCCGGTGGAAACGACTAGTTTGATTAACGAACTAAATTAGTCCTTCTTAGATCTACCAGCCGGCTTTACAACAGGAAACAGATTAAAGGTGAGACGGTGTACGCTAGTCTTGTCCCTGGCATTAAACCATGATTACAAGACTTCGCTTCCAGGATGTGACGTCACTTGGTGCCATTGTAATCTACACCGATTTGCCTTTTTTGGATTCGGCTATGAAAGAATGAAACGAGATAGAATTGCGAGATGTATTAGGATTCACATTTCTTGGGTTAAAATAGATATAAGATGGACTATCAGATGAATAAGGCTTCACATTTCTTGATCAAAATGGAAACTAGACGAACTATGAGATGAATAAGGATTCACATTTCTTAGGTTGATACAGCGAAATAAAAACTTGTGACCATTCTGTTCTGGAGAGTATCCTAATGGATACTCTGTGGAAAAAGGGTAAATACCAGGTGGATACTGGGTGGATACTGGGTGGATACAAGATAAATACCAGGTGGATACTGGGTGGGTACAGTGTGGATACAATGTAAATACCGGGTGGATACTGGGTGGATACCTCACTGCGATATCCAAATCTGTTATCATAAGTGACCATCAAAAGGCAGTTGATGTAGACTATTAAGTCCAGAGAGCCGCTGATTCGAGCAAAGTCTAGACCAGGGGTTCCCAACCCTGTGCTCGCGAGCGCCATGGCGCCCGCTGAACGATTCGCATGTGCCCGCCTCTCACTATTCGACAGAGACAGAATTTTTTCAAAAACATTATTTTAAAATATGATTTATTTTTATTGATTTGTTACAGTTTTAATTTTTTTTTTACTGCCTAGGTTTATTAAATATGTTCGATACTTGTTCCAACTTGTCTAGCGGCTAGACAGACTGCACTATTTACGTTTTGTAAATACATTTCTCTGTGTGTAAGCAATTTGAAAAAAATGCCAAATCGAAAGTGTGTCCCCGGGAAAGGTCGCTACTGGGGGGTGACACCATTAAGTGCCGCACCGGGTGTCACCTCGACCTCGCTACGCCACTGCGTATGACTAAAAGAAAATAAGAAAATAAGAAAATAAATTATGGGAAAATGACAAGTTATGGAAGGAGTTTGTCGATTTAAAATAGGTCGTGCCCGCCACCCTACAGATATTTTAGAATGTGCTATAGAGTAAAAAAAAAAAAAAGGTTGGGAACCCCTGGTATTGGTATAGAAGAACAATGTCTAGACGTCTAAAATACACTGGGGTGGTCTAATGTTATAACCTCTGGTTTACCGTGAATAGAATAGCATTACGTCCAGTATATCTCGTCGGTTGAGGGGTGGGGTGTAATACAAGGCATTATGGCCAACAGAATGTTTATCAGGGAGGGTCATTAACTAATTAAAGTCCAGGTGGCTGAGTCAGATTGTAATTATGTCAAAACTAGAGAGCTCAATTTATTCAATGATGTAATCTGTCACATGATCCAATCAATAATCAATCAGTACCCTTAGGGGGTAGAGACCAATAGCAGTGCCCTGTAAAATTTGAACACATCACAGTGCCCGTTAACATTTGAACACACACACCACCGTGCCCGTTAACATTTGAACACACACACCACCGTGCCCGTTAACATTTGAACACACACACCACCGTGCCCGTTAACATTTGAACACACACACCACCGTGCCCGTTAACATTTGAACACACACATCACAGTGCCCGTTAACATTTGAACACACACATCACAGTGTCCGTTAACCTTTAAACACACATCACAGCGACCTTTAACCTTTAACCTTGTCACGACACGTGACACTGTGATCTACTTACTCACGTGACCCACCATATCCCATAGTTCCCCCAGATATTATTTACCTCAATAACGCGCAGTGCGGGCACGAATGGGTACACAGCATTCAATGGTCCGTGGGTCGATCGGAATTTAATCATTAATGAAATTGTGAATGTTGTCGCCGGGCTGTGGTTTGTATATGGGGGGAGGGGTGGGGGGGGGAGGGTCGGGAGAGCGTGACGGGATTGAGTGATTGAAGGAGGTAGGGGTGGGGTGTTGTAGAGAGGGGGCGATGTTTGCAGAAATAAAATTGATTTCAAATTCTTGATGTAGACATTATGGCCCAGTCCAGCGCATTTCGCGTGCAGGCCGCGAGAGAGTTAAGTTTAGCTCTTGGGTAACTGCATCAAGTGGAGCTTAATTTGAGCTCATGAGGTGGAAGTTGTTTTGCCGGTTTGATCTCGTGCTATCGCGTGGTCACCCAACCGTGACAGATATCTTCGCTGATTTGGCGGGGAGGGACGCCGTCACGAGTTGGACCGGGTCTGTGAGCGGTTCCAGACTTAAGTGTTCTTGGGATGTGCATCTCAAGATTTATTTATATTAGTGCCAGTTAATGCAAAGTTTCATTATAGTGGTGAATGTTCATGTGAAGTGTATTCACATTGGCTTAAAGTGTAATGAAATTTTCTTGTTTGTTTAAGTGCATTTTCATCTGGAATTGTTTTTATATTGTCAAAATATTCATATGAATTTACTTATATAGGTGAATCTTGATGTGAAAGTTCTTTATTCTACTGAACATTCATGTGAAATTTCTTTCAGTTGGCAAAAAGTTTATCTAAACATTGTATTTATATTGGTGACTATGTACCTGAAGTGTCTGTGTTTTTTAACAAAATAGTTCCATTGCTAGCCAGTTGTTTTCTATTGTCTTCTACCAACCGTCGTCTACTGTTTGACTGTTTTTTTTTTAAATTAAAAAAAATGTTTTTTTTTATTTACCATTTTAAAATAATCACATCAAAATTGTTTAAATATTTACAAACAAGAAAAAGAAACCAGTTTAATAATATCATACCAAATGTGTGGGGCAAACAGTAAGGTATAAGTAATTAAACAGAATAAACATCAAAATTATGATATGAGCAAAAGGATGAATTTAAGTATGGTTATTAAGGTCGCTGCATGTAAAACTAGACATTACAGTGGGGCATATTTTTCACTTGGTTTGCTCAAAGATTGTTTCAGTAATGAAAATTTGGCATACCATAGGTTTTTGTTTTTGTTTTTCTCATACCATAATATTTTTTTTTTTTTTTTTTTTTTTAAATACTTTTATTTGCAATTAAAACAAGTACATCAACATCAAATTTTTTAACATAATTTTGAACACCAAATGAAAACGAAAGGTTTTGCAAATGTACATAATGAATATCATACCATAATAAATTGCTAACTCGACTTCTATTTCTCTTGATAGCAATAACTTATTAAGTTACGTGCTGTGATTATATTTTTAAATATGTGATTTAAATCATGGTTTGTCTTATGTACAATGTCCAACTACATTATTTGTTTATCTTATTTAAATTTTATTTTTTTAATTGCTTCCTCGCAGAAATAAATTGTTAAATAGGAATACAGAATCGTGGATCTGCCGAATTTCGCTTAATTTTATTTTTCACAAATCCGACTCGAAATAAATCAGTGCCAGAAGCAAGTGAGAGTTACGTCCCTTAAAGCAGTAGTTTCTTGGTTCATTAAAGTACCGTGTCAAAAATATTCATTCGCCTCATAGGAAATCAATAGATAAAGAACTTGTTTGACGTAGTTTCACTGGCTGCCTCAGCCGCTTTGCTTCCCCTGGTTTCTAGGGGTATTTTCTGTGTCGTTTTCGCGTGGTCCTTAATTGGTGATTTGGTGCGTCTGTTTACGGGAGATAACTCGCTAGAACTTCCTACAATTGGAGTTATCCGCCCAGTATGAGATGAAGTGTTTGAATTAAGTGGCACCAAGATGGCGGAAATTATCCTCATTACAGAGGTGGATATTCTCAAACAGTTGCTGGAGGTTTGTTTTACTAGGGGCTTATTACTGTCATATGGGCTTTTGTTCATGGTGTACTGCCATGTGGGCTTTTGTTTATGGTGTACTGTCATATGGGCTTTTGTTTATGGTGTACTGTCATATGGGCTTTTTTTAATTGTGTACTGTCATATGGGCTTTTGTCAATTCGTGGTTTACTGTGATATGGGCTTTTTGTTCATCTGTGTTTTACAGTGATATGGGCGTTTGTTCATAGTTTACTGTGATATGGGCTTTTGTTAATTCGTGGTTTACTGTGATATGGGCTTTGGCTCATAGTTCACTGTGATATGGGCTTTTGCTCATATTTTACTGATTTATGGGCTTTTGCTTAAGGTTACATTTCATGTGGCGTTTTATTTATGGTTTGTCGTGCTCCGGTGTTGTTTGAGAACAGATTTGTGTATGATGTACCGTACCGGGGGCGGGGTGGGTGGGCTTTTGATCATCTCTGTAAACACCTAATCACTACTCTGTTAATTAACGATTGTTTGCCTGTGGGCGTATAGAGCCTTTACCCTGCCCAACCCTTCCAATTGCTTGTGGGTGACTCTGCCAAAACTACATCCTCACTTACACCTGTAGACACACTCACATACACTGAGGCCTACACTCACACACCATGCCAAAACTACACCCCTACTATTACACCTGTTGACACACTCACATACACAGAGGCGCACACTCACGCACTCTCATACACACATATCTCCACACATAAACCTCCACAAGACACATCGGCCCTATTGTACTTATGTCAGTTAATTAATTCTGCCACACTGTGATGTCAATTAAGTAGTTCGATGTTACACGGAAATTTCAATCAATTATTTCCATGTGATAATGTGATGCCAATTAATTATTTCCATGTGATAATGTGATGTCAATTAATTATTTCCATGTGATAATGTGATTGTGTCAATTAATTATTTCTATGCTATAATGTGATGTCAATTATTTCCATGTGATAATGAGGTGTCAACTAATTATTTCCATGTGATAATGAGGTGTCAATTAATTATTACTACGTGAACATGTGACGCCGATACTAACTTAGCTTGAAAGTTAACTCACGCACAAAGTTAACAATTTTGTTTTGTTTTTGTTTCAGAAATGGAAGCCTTTGTTTGACCAGGTAAGTCGTGTAATCTTTTGTTCTTCCTCACTTCCTATTGGTTGCCAGTGTAAACCAAAATGGCGACAATCTAATTTGATTGGTTGGCTTCTCTGTTGTCTTGACGTCGCGGAAAGTGCCATTGTGTGTTTTGTTATAGAACCACATTGTTAAAACATGCAGGCGTTTGTCTATTTCTGCCCTGCACCCGCTGACCTACGCTCAACTGTCTAAAACTATTCATAATTAATTAGACATTTCATTTGAGCCACTCTGTAACCATTAAACTTAACTTTTTAAAATAGACCATGTCCATTTCACCTTGCTGAAAACTTAATGCACATTGGGCATTATATAAAAACAATGCACATTGGGCATTATATAAACAATACACATTGGGCATTATATACAACTCTATATACATTAGGGCATTGCATAAAAACTCATGCAAATTTAACATTTACAGAAAGATTGAATGAGCAATGAAAACGTATATAAAAATGTAATTTCTATTATACAGAGCGCATGAAAACTACATGTATAATACATTTTTGGTTTCATTAATTTAAGATTAGAAAACGAGACCTTCCGTTATCATTGTTTTGATCCAAGTTTGTTCTAGTACCATTAGAACATTGTTTTGATCCAAGTTTTCTCTAGCACCATTAGAACATTGTTTTGATCCAAGTTTGCTCTAGCACCATTAGAACATTGTTTTGATCCAAGTTTGCTCTAGCACCATTAGAACATTGTTTTGATCCAAGTTTGCTCTAGCACCATTAGAACATTGTTTTGATCCAAGTTTTCTCTAGTACCATTAGAACATTGTTTTGATGCAAGTTTGCTCTAGTACCATTAGAACATTGTTTTGATGCAAGTTTGCCTTAGTACCATTAGAACATTGTTTTGATCCAAGTTTGCTCTAGTACCATTAGAACATTGTTTTGATGCAAGTTTGCCTTAGTACCATTAGAACATTGTTTTGATCCAAGTTTGCTCTAGTACCATTAGAACATTGTTTTGATGCAAGTTTGCCTTAGTACCATTAGAACATTGATTTGATCCAAGTTTGCTCTAGTACCATTAGAACATTGATTTGATCCAAGTTTGCTCTAGTACCATTAGAACATTGTTTTGATCCAAGTTTTCCCTAGCACCATTAGAACATTGTTTTGATGCAAGTTTGCCTTAGTACCATTAGAACATTGATTTGATCCAAGTTTGCTCTAGTACCATTAGAACATTGTTTTGATGCAAGTTTGCCTTAGTACCATTAGAACATTGATTTGATCCAAGTTTGCTCTAGTACCATTAGAACATTGATTTGATCCAAGTTTGCCTTAGTACCATTAGAACATTGATTTGATCCAAGTTTGCTCTAGTACCATTAGAACATTGATTTGATCCAAGTTTGCTCTAGTACCATTAGAACATTGTGTTCTCTGTAGTCACGTGACGGAGTCTTGTTTCAGTATGACCCCTACCGGCGGGGAGAGATCGCCATCGAAGACTTCATGTTCCTGCTGCGCCACCCCCAGGTCCGGGCCGAGCTTGACCCCCACACCCTGACGGTCCTGGAGATCAAGGCCGCGGACCCCCAGCGGAGTTCAGTCAGTTACCAGGAGTTTGTCAACATGGTGAGTAGGGCATCGTGCTGTCTGTCGGGCATACACCTGTCAGACATACACCTGTCTGTCGGGTATACACCTGTCTGTCGGGTATAAACCTAGCTGTCAAACATCCACCTGCCTTTTACATACCTATTAAACACTCACCTGGCTACCAAATACCTGTCAAACATCCACTTGTCAAACACCTGTCTATCACATACCTGTCAAACGAGAACGTATAATGACATAATGTCACATTTTAAAAAGTCATTTTTTGAACTGAAATTTAGCAGTTAATTCGCATAATTTGAAGATATCTTTATAAACTGCAATAGAGTGGATTCCTTTTATTGATATCGCTGCGCCTAAAGAACAAAAAAAAATAATTGTGAATTATTTTTGGGTTGAAGTGGGGTGGATGAGTTAATTTAGGGGAGGGTCTGATTTTTGTGACGATGTGTGACAATGGAAAAGTTGGGGAAGGCGAATCATATTTTCGTTTAATAACCAAGTTACAAAACACTAATATAAAAAAAAAATTAAACCCCAAAAAATAATTATAGACCAATTGTAATCAATAATTCATCATTCAGAGAATAAAATCGAATAAAAATGATAGATTATTTTCTTTGTAGCTCTAATTACACTCCCGCCCTTTTCTTCATTAGCTTCAACCGTGACGTCACGTCCCAGTGAGCTTCAACGAGTAACGGACGATAGTCATGCGCAAACAATACTCCACGCATGCGCCGACCCTATCCACGTACATTACTCTCTACTACCACATTCATAAACCCATAACCTCGAACCAAAGCTTGCGATTCTGATCGAAATTGAGAAATAAATAAATAAATTGAGCCGCTTATTGTGGAGTCGACACGGTACACGGTATTGGCTGAGGAAGGCTTACAGCTGAGGAAATAATGAACACACTAAATCAATTTACAACAATAGAAAATCGCGCGCTGAAATATTAACATTCAATGCATGAATAATGTGTAACCACAGTGATCTGATGTATGCTACAAAATTAAGACGTTACTGGCAGAATAGGGTGGGGTAGGGGGGGGGGGGCAAATTGGATGTGTTACAACGTTAAATTATTTACGTGAACAGACGGAGAGGTGTTTGAATGGTAGCGGGGTAACGGGTGAGTTTATGTGAGGTAACTCAGCGGGTATTGGCTGTTTTGTGTGAGGTAACTCAGCGGGTATTGGCTATTTTGTGTGAGGTAACTCAGCGGGTATTGGCTATTTTATGTGAGGTAACTCAGCGGGTATTGGCTGTTTTGTGTGAGGTAATCGACGGGTAGATGGTGTGTTTTTCTCCGTGTGGGGAGATTTTAAAAAAAATAATTTAATGTTGTATTTGTGGGTTACTATGGTGTCAGGCATTTTGAAATAAAAATCAAATAGCTTAACGAATCCCAAATCCACACAATATATAGTATATATATATATATATATATATATATATATATATATATATATATATATATACATATATATATAGTTTATTAGAGACAACTAATTAACGATATACCGAGGGCGGGCGAGTTGATGACCGTAGAGGCCATGGACACAAAAGTAACAGCAAACCCTGACTATTGATTGGTCCAACACGGAGCTTAAATATTGTTGAGATACATTTTTAGTTCGTTTAGTGTTGAACTTTTCAGAAATCTCTCGAGGACTGAGGGCATTCGTATTTGATTTTGATCTTGGTCCGGATAGAGTCCTGATTTATGTTCCTGATGTTGGTCCTTTTTAACAGTCTTGATAGAGTCCTTTGTATGATCCTGATGATGGTCCTGGCAGTCCTACCCTTCATATACCCTCTTAACGGCATATAAAAACTTAAAATTTCGCAGCATAAACATGCGTTGTTGGTAATAATATCTTCCGTCACGCTTCACCGCTCATGTGTGAGATCAATCAATATTTTTCAACATGCCAACACAACCCACACAAAGCAAATTTTTCCCCCTAGCGATATAAATGTGGGGGAAATTACCATGTTTATAATGCTTGAAAGATATCGAACAACGCTTCACTTAGCTTTACCAGTTGCTATTAAAAAATATTTCAGAGAATTTTTTAAAAAATAGTTGGCAATTCGTTGTTTTTTTTCGCAAGCAGCTGCCACATTATATTATATTTTTAACTGTTGTGTAGTTGTGTCACGTGATTTGATAAAACGGTTGTGAAATTGTTTTATGTTATTTGATAACTGTTGTGAAATTGGTTTAAGTTATTTGATAACTGTTGTGAAGTTTGATCACGTGATTTGATAATTGTTGTGAATTTGGGTCACGTGATTTAACAATTGTTGTAAAGTTTTGTTAAGATACTGGCTAATTACACACGAGCGCTTATTTAACAGCAATCGAGGCACTAAGTAGCCATTGTTGCTGTACATACACAGAACAGTGTCAGGCAAAGCGCTGAGTTGGAATCGAACCTCCGACTCAATCACACGTCGACGTAAAAACTCAATAAGATGAGTGGGCCAGGGAAGTGGGTGTATAACAAGAGACAATCCCCGCCTTCAGACACGTTCATGTTTTGTATAGGTGATGTAACGCCTTGCATAGTTAAGCCTGATTGAATATTCATTAGGCAGAGTTTGGCATCGACCGTGTGCAGCTCGGCTGGTGGTTCAATGACGCTATCTCTGAACCATCAGCGCTCGGTCTCTGTATTCATCTCATTCATTACCTCAGCGGAGAGGTAGATTTTTAGATTTTAAACTTTTACATTTTAAATTTCATGGGCCTAGGCTTGGTGCGTTTAAAACCAAACTGTTAATTAGAGATCGTTCAAAAATAATTTGAGTAAAACCAAACTGTTAATTACAGGTCGTTCAAAATTAAATTACGTGAAACTAAACTGTTAATTAAGTTTCATGAATAATTTTAGTAAAAACAAACTGTTAATTAGACGTCGTTCAAAAATAAATATGGAAGGGAAAAAACTGCAATTCTCATAACTTTGTTAAGTGGTGCGTTGCATTTCTGATTGAGCAAATCAAATCTCCGTAGTTTCGTACAAAATGTCTTTTAAACATGACTTTACTGGAACTTTATAAGAAATCAGTGAAATACGTTTGACGTCTGATTAGCTTTGTCTGATGGAGAAATGGCTAGCCGAGTTTTAAAAAACTGATCAAGAAACCAAATATTCATGATGTCTACAAAAATTAACTTCTGAAATTGAAATATTTTAAAGTCTAATAAAAATAACTTGAGTTTATTGGCTTTGATCGAAAGAGTTCTCGTGCGCAATGATTATAATTTTATTTGACTATAGTAAATGTAAATAACAACATTCATTCAATATAACAGTCGTAATTATGCAATACATTACCGAAATCAACTACAGAAGCAGCCTGAACTACCAACATGATCCCACTAACCAGGGGCCTGTACTCCTGTGATCTAACTAACCAGGGGCATGCACTCCTGTGATCTAACTAACCAGGGGCATGCACTCCTGTGATCTAACTAACCAGGGGCCTGTACTCCTGTGATCTAACTAATCAGGTGCCTGTACTCCTGTGATCTAACTAACCAGGGGCATGCACTCCTGTGATCTAACTAACCAGGGGCCTGTACTCCTGTGATCTAACTAACCAAGGGCCTGTACTCCTGTGATCTAACTAACCAGGGGCCAGTACTCATGTGATCTAACTAACCAGGGGCCAGTACTATGATCTAACTAACCAGGGGCCTGTACTCCTGTGATCTAACTAACCAGGGGCCTGTACTCATGTGATCTAACTAACCAGGGGCCATTACTGTGATCTAACTAACCAGGGGCCTGTACTCCTGTGATCTAACTAACCAGGGGCCTGTACTCCTGTGATCTAACTAACCAGGGGCCAGTACTCATGTGATCTAACTAACCAGGGGCCAGTACTGTGATCTAACTAACCAGGGGCCTGTACTCTACTACTGTGATCAAACTAACCAGGGGCCAGTACTCATGTGATCTAACTAACCAGGGGCCTGTACTCATGTGATCTAACTAACCAGGGGCCAGTACTCATGTGATCTAACTAACCAGGGGCCATTACTGTGATCTAACTAACCAGGGGCCAGTACTGTGATCTAACTAACCAGGGGCCTGTACTCCTGTGATATAACTAACCAGGGGCCTGTACTCCTGTGATCTAACTAACCAGGGGCCTGTACTACTGTGATCTAACTAACCAGGGGCCATTTCTGTGATCTAACTAACCAGGGGCCTGTACTCATGTGATCTAACTAACCAGCGGCCAGTACTCATGTGATCTAACTAACCAGGGGCCATTACTGTGATCTAACTAACCAGGGGCCAGTACTGTGATCTAACTAACCAGGGGCCTGAACTCCTGTGATCTAACTAACCAGGGGCCTGTACTCCTGTGATATAACTAACCAGGGGCCTGTACTCCTGTGATCTAACTAACCAGGGGCCTTTACTCCTGTGATCTAACTAACCAGGGGCCTGTACTCCTGTGATCTAACTAACCAGGGGCCTGTACTCCTGTGATCTAACTAACCAGGGGCCATTACTGTGATCTAACTAACCAGGGGCCTGTACTCCTGTGATCTAACTAACCAGGGGCCTGTACTCCTGTGATCTAACTAACCAGGGGCCAGTACTGTGATCTAAATAACCAGGGGCCTGTACTCCTGTGATCTAACTAACCAGGGGCCTGTACTCCTGTGATCTAACTAACCCGGGGCCTGTACTCCTGTGATCTAACTAACCAGGGGCCAGTACTGTGATCTAACTAACCAGGGGCCTGTACTCCTGTGATCTAACTAACCAGGGGCCTGTACTCCTGTGATCTAACTAACCAGGGGCCTGTACTCCTGTGATCTAACTAACCAGGGGCCTGTACTCCTGTGATCTAACCAGGGGCCTGTACTCCTGTGATCTAACTAACCAGGGGCCTGTACTCCTGTGATCTAACTAACCAGGGGCCTGTACTCCTGTGATCTAACTAACCAGGGGCCTGTACTCCTGTGATCTAACTAACCA